CGTCCAGGTGACAAGGGACAAACAGGGCCACATTTCCCAGCTGAGCTGTGGGATCCAGCCCTGGAGAAACCAGCGCAAGCTGTGCTCCATCACACCGGCCCATGGTGGGAGCTGCAAGGACAGGGTGCGGTAATGCTGCCGTGACTCCTGTTGCCATTACATCTTCAGAGAGTCATTGAATATTTATAAAAGAAAAGCCTTCTAAGACTAATGAATCCAATGTTCCCCAAGCACTGMCCAGGCCACCACTGCCCCATGTCCCCAAGTGCCACATCCACAGGGYTTTGGGATCCCTCCAGGGATGGGGACTCCWCWCTGCCYTGGGCAGYTSTGCCAGGGCTGGACAGCCTTTTCTGTGAATGAATTTYYCCCAATATCCAATCTAAACCTCCTCTGTCACAACCYGAGGCCRTTTCCTCAGTGATTTCCYCATGGAAAGGGKGCTCAGGATTGGCAGRGGCTGYCCAGGGAGGTTTGGARTCCCCAACCYTGGAGTGTCCAAGGGAGGACTGGGCATGGCACTCAGAACTCTGRGCTGGGGACAAGGTGAGGATCAGTCACAGGYTGGATTTGATGACCTTGGASGGATTTTTCCAGCCTCAAGSATTCTSTGATCYCTCTCCTCCTGTCCCTGTTCCCTGGAGCACAGCCTGACMCCCCCGGCTGTCCCCTCCTGTCAGGAGTTGTGCAGAGCCACAAGGTCCCCCCTGATYCCTTTTTCTCCAGGCTGAGCCCCTTTCCAGCKCCCTCAGGATTCTCCAGACCCTTCCCAGCTCCGTTCCCTGCCCTGGATTCGCTCCAGCAGAGCAGGAGCAGCAGAGAAGGTTTGGCCACATCCACCTGCAGACACAGATYCTTGTTCTCCAGGAGCCTGAGCACCCCATACTCACCAGACTTGACCTCTCTTACTGAAAATGTAGTTCTGTCTCTGCAGGAACCAGCCCTAATAGTGACCAGAAATAGTCACTCCCTTCATCTGCTTTGATAYGGGCTCATAAATCAATTGAAAACCAGATCTTTAGTGTATATTTTTTATACAGTTTATTAAGAAAAAATCCCTCAAACTCTTTTGAGAAAGAGGAAAATACATCTGGTTAATTTTTTTTGCTACAATTTCAATTGAAAATTAAAGTGAGTACTTGGAAATTTTTCCTTCTGTTTTTTTTACACACATTCCACCTCTCTTTTAAAAATTAAGTCAGTTTTTATCAAGAGACAAAGCAAATAAATAAATGACACTTCTTAAGGCAAAAAGAAAAGATATTTCTATAAATAACGATATAAGAGTAAAGTGATATACAGTGTTGTAGGTCAGAAAGAGACRGAATAAATTATCCTGAGCTGATGGGCCGTGGTGGCTGTTACCCTGGGCAGCTGTAGGAAGGCAARAGGCAGCGTCCTGACCCCCAAAGCTTTCCCACCCCCCAGAAATGCAGCTGCTAACTGCATCAGGCCGTTACAGATGTGCTGTGAGCGCTGCAGGTGCTGTGTCCCAGGTCTCCAAATGAGGAGAGAACAGAGCAGCTGCCGTCTGGGCCAGCATGGCACATCTGGACAGGGGCAGGGGGTCGGCTGGAGCTGCAGAGGTGTTGGGGGCTGGTTTTTACAGCAGYACCATCCACCAGCAGCCCCGGGGGCTGTTCCCTGCAGCAGCAA